CATAACTGACGAAGAAGCTGTAAAGGCCAGCGCCAAGCATATTGAAGATATCGACGGCAAGCTCGATATCCTCGTCAACAAGTTCGTACATCATAACCCCATTTGCCTCTTCCACATGCTAATCTCCTGGTAGTGCCGGATTCGCCGGCTCCCTTCGCGACCCAGACTTTACCACCAAGAAGGACGCGGCTATAGATCCTCTCGAACCCGAGACCATACAGAACTGGACCGACATCTTCGCACTGAACACCATCGCTCCATTCTTCGTCGTGCGCGCCTTCCAATCCCTCCTCATCAAGGGAGCCCATTCCCGCCCCCAAGGCACCTCAAGCATCATCAACATCAGCAGCATTGCGGCAAGACTCAACACACCGGGGCCGGGAGTATGTGTACGTTGTCCTGATATTCGTATATAAAGCTGCATCGAACTGAGTTGATCAGATGGCTTATGGTGCGACGAAAGCAGCGTTAGACAAACTGACCCTTGTTCTCGGGACGAGTTTTGCTGGGAGAGGTATCCCGATTCGGGTGAACGCAGTGCACCCTGGCGCGTTTGAGTCGCAATTGGTAGGTCCCGAGATTTTGGAGATGATCATGGCGGAGCCTGCACCTGGTACTGCGGCGCAGGTGCCTGCTAGGAGGCCTGGATCGTGAGTACGCTCGGTATTTGGATGAGATCGGTTGTTGAATCGAGTTTTGTAGTGATGCAGAGATTGGGACGACGGCGATCTACCTGGCAGTATCGGATTATACCAACGGGGCGGTTTTGTGTGTTGATGGCGGAATATCGCTGGTAAATCCTTGAATGTTTTGTTGTTTTACAAAAAATTTCCCCCCTTGACGTTATGATATCATGGTGTTCCCGTCTAAAGACTGACTTGGTTTCGATGACCCCAAGCAGTGTAATTTTAAACAAGCAGACCATACGAGATATTCTGTGGAAAGCAACGAGAGGAGACCAAAGGAACTCGTACTAACCCATAGACGGAGAGAAGGAATGGTGATTGCAAGTGGGTCTTTCAGGATGAAGCTTGAAGCTGGAGGTTTGTACAACCAAGACAGATGAAAAGAATGGCGTCGTACCATCCCAGATAAGAACTCATACTCGCGTCGGAATCTTCTTGAGTTCAGGAGTTTATGCATCAGCTATTTTCGTTTGATCTAGTGACGATGATAACAGACCCTTGCATACAGGTTATAATCGAGAAAATTTTGCCATTGAGGCCCGACGCGTGAAGTGTTCGAGCTCGCACTATTTTCTTTCCTCTTGTTTCCTACTGCTGGTTCTGGTTCTGTCGCTTGGCTCGGTGGAAATAGAAATAACATTCAAGGATTCACCAGCGACACTCCCACCGTCAACGCTCACAATCGCCCCGTTCGTGTTATAGAATGCACAGCGGACCCTGTTCTGTAATTCCTACTGGTGGGACATTCAGGGGTGTATGGCGTAGCATCAACCTTTGCGAGTGGTACGTCTACGCCACCCGGCACGTCAATACAACATTGTTGGATACATTTCAGCAAAGGATTTGTATATGAGTTGTGTGCCTTGGACTTTCTGTAGGACTACATATAATTATAAAGAAGAGGAATGGGAAGATTCACACGAGAACGAAAGCACCTTCGCATTCTTCAACTCCAAGTATTGATCATTGTGCTAAGTTGGAAGGACCAGATACGGTAAACAGTTTAGAGTTTAGAAGACCGGTATAAGAGGACAAGAGTGACATACAGTTCTCCGTTTTCAAGAAGCTGTTCCCAAAAAGTCGGTCATCATGTCCACAGTTAATTACCAGGCAGTGTTAATCCACTGGGTTGATGGCGTCGTTGGTTATCGGGTCTCACATTACACTCTTACCAATGACACAGAAGGTCTTCAGTTCGAATCCGAATCGACTCATCAGCGGAAGAAGTCAGGTTTTTTTTTGTGGTATTTCTGGCCCATAAGGCTTGCTGCCTTGCAGGACCTTCATTCAATGACATTGGCAGGTTGAGCGACGAGCATTCATCTCCCATTAGGTTTGTGCCTCCTTTTATGCAGGGAGGCGTCATACCGTCTGTTTGGGTTTACAGTTACGAAGATTTTCCCATTCACGCTCCAGCCTCCAGATTTGAGAAACGTTCCTTGGTGCTATGGCTTCGGGCTGCATTTCCCCACGTCACTATCACTATCAATATCTCGGCAGCTGTGAAACGTTACTTAGATACTGAGTACCAGGCGTCTACATTCATCTCCTTTGATTTCTTGAAAAAGGATACGCGTTAGTATGTTCGAAGATGATTGTGATACGTGGATTTATCTCTCATCCCCAGCTTCTAGTTTTATGGTGCTGACCGATTCGAAGAGTTTGGATAAGAGGCTTCATAGGAGGACTTGGGGGATCAGATGTAAGTACAGTTCAAGAACGACACGTTTATTACGATCCTGACTCAAGCAATAATGCATAACACTTGAAGGTTCCGACATTTGTTCAATATTCGCGTGTGATGCATGAACGTTCGCAGTTTTAACGCCAAAAGTACAGAAAATTCTCCAAGACGATGCCTTCGCCGATGAACTTCGTTTTACAGAGTATTTTCTCGATTACATTGACGACATTGTGCGGGTACAACAGTAGATATAAGGTCCTCTCAGAAAAGGTATATAGAGGTATAGTGTGATACAGCCACGAAAACGCTGTAATTATGGTCAAACGACGAGCATCTGCGATATTTCGCTGAAAACATACCGACAGTCAAGCTAGACCTTTGACCCGAAATAGAAACCAGAGGAGAAACAGGAGTACCGCGAACCAGAAATATTTGGACAAGAGCAGGTGAATGATCCTCACGGTCTTCAACCTAGTTCAACGAAAAAGTTGATGCGCCAAGGCGACACAGCGAGGAGCATAATCACCAATAATCGATCCGCCTTCCACGCAGGACCAGAATCCTGTACGCAGCTAGAATGAAATAAATATGCTAGGCGTGTACAAAGCGATCTGTGAAACGTACGAGAGTCTTCGCCAAACGCTCTACGCACTTCAACCTTCATGTCCACGATTTTCGCCGCCAGTTCACGAAGGAGAGATTCTCTCTGTCGATAGTCCTTGCAATGTGCAATTGTGTTTTCGGCGAATTCCAGGGCCGTGTCAAGTTCAGAGGCCGTGGTGAGTTCTAGCCGATGCATGAGATCTTCGAGTTCCAGCCAAGGCATGAGATCTTCGAGTTCGTCGTAAACTTCGAGTACTGCGAGGATTAGGGGGTCTGTTGTCTTGCCGGGAGGTAATATTGTGTTGCCGGGTTTGGACACTGCTGCGAACTTGAAGAAAGGAAAGGGCGGGGTATAGACGGTGGTGGTAGATGGTGGTGGTAGTAGTTCGAGCCGTGTTTGAAACTCCGAAGCTAGCTACCGTTCTTTGCCGTCCCTACCATCCATTCATCAGCACCACAAGCCAAGTGTCCCCGTGAATACGAATGAATCAACCGTTTTTTTTGTCCCAGAGTATGACAGGCAGGGAGATAAGCTGAAGGATTTTGGTCGATATGAGGCTTTTCGGAGATGTTACGGTCACTTGAACACAGTATCGGAAGTACAAGTCAATAACGACGCGTCTATTACAACCTTGGCAAATTGGCTCAGGTAGTAATCCTTGAATGTTTCGGCGTCTGCTCAGTATCCGCGCGTAATGCACGAACATTCGTAAATTCGCGCTTTTGATTAACATTCACCGCTTCCTTACAAAGGCAAGAGTATTCGAATTTCATCACGACATTCGGTGCAACAGTACGCATAAAATTCTTTCAGGAAAAGTATACGGAGAATAGGACAGCCAGAAAAACGCCGTAGTATGGTGAGTCAATGTATTGGCGATATTTCGTTGTAACGTACCAAAAGCCAAGCTAGATCTTTGATCCAGAGCAGAAACACCAAGAGTCAGCCTAATTCAACGGCAAAGCTGTCCAAGGAAGGAGACAGTGACCATTTTTTATTAGATCCGTCGTATGGCTGCAAGAGTCTATCGCCCTGCTGGGTTTGAAGAAAGGAAACTGAGGAAAGGGCGTAGAAAAGGTGGTTCTGATGATAAGATGATGATGGTAATTCAAACCGTGTTTGAAACTCCGCCACCTGCTGCTCACGAGTCTGTATTCAAGGTCCAACTATGACCATCTCCGTACTGCTATGCCATCCCGATGTCCAATCCTTTGCGTGTCTCCAAATCAATGCCGTTTGGGTTGCTATCCAAAATAGTGAATGCTCAGGAGAGACGAAGATAAGGGATCGTTTGCAAAGGTTCATAACAGTACGGCAGCATGAATATCGTTACCTTACTTCAACTAATCTCTTTTTGCCTCAAAGGAATCTTATTCTTGTCTAACATAGTGGCAGATACTAACAATGAGAAGCAGAACGGGAATAACGCGACGATGCGCACGCAGTCACGTCGAGGCCGCGCACAGTTTACCCAGACCGCCGTCTCCAGCTATATAAGACGAGCGCCGGGAGGCAGGATAGAGTGTGCAAGTGGCCTCTCACATGCGCTATGACTTTGTCCGGTCCATTACCTTCCTTGGCCCCGTGGCAAATTGGGACAGCTCTACCTTTTCGACAAGTCGTTGATTTCCAAGGGACCTGGGATGAAGCGCTGAGAATGATGAACTTCGAGGTACGTGACACGGGTATAAGCGGCCAGATTTCCCTCCTTACTCGTATTTCTGGCTTCAGCGAAGAACAGGAGGTTGATCATTGAGGTGACTTGCGTCGAGTCAGCAAGTAATGAAAAAGACGCGATAGAAAAGGTACGTGCCCTCCTGTTTGTACGCCTTGAGATTGAGTCTAAGCAGGCGCCCATGTAGCATTGCCTTATCATTCACGCAGGAGCTCGCTCTTCCTGGCAACCCGTCTTTTCAAATCGTATCTGAAGCTCTGACGCTAGATGCCGTCCCACCATCTTCGCGTCTTCGTTCAAGAAATCATTCAAGCTCTTCCTTTGGAAACGCGGTCTTGAGTACAAAGACCTTGGCCTGCTTGTCTTGAGGGTGGATTACCTAATAGGAAACGATAATGAAAGTGAGCCGTGATAGAGTCAACGCTTCACTTACTCAGCTTAACGGTTCTCAAGGTTCTATTTCAAAAATGACCAAGCCCGTGTCTCCGCAACTTTTTCGCCATTTTGGACTGTGGAAGGCTTCCAGGATAGGATTGCGGCCCGGGACTTCAGTCACAATGCTGACTGTTATGGGAGAAGATGGACAAGG